TTCTTATTGCGAAATAGGAGCACTATTTATCAATCTGTAATAAAAGACGTGAGGAAATTCTGTCTTTTTTAAAGGCGAAATACCCAAAAAGAAGTATGTAAAAAAATGAATCCGCCTCAACAATACATCACTTATCTACAATTTATTTACCCTTGTTAGATAGGTCATATCCTTATCGTGGTTGGGCATTCGAGTGAGCATCTGATGGCCGAGCTCAACCTCGTTGGTGGCCTTTCGAAATACGCGAAGAATCTCAGCCACGTCGACCGGAGGCACGAGTCGGCCTCGACTGGTGTGCTTTCCTTCCTCACCCATCATGAACGAAAACAGCTCAGTGAAACTGAACAAACTGCTCTGGGTCATCGGACTGAGACACTCCAGCATGCTTTGTTGCATATCGAGAGCATAATTCCATAGCTCTATACATCTGAAGAGGAAAAACATGTTAGTATTAAGGCTGAAACGCTGAGGCGGCATGCTTGCCTATTAAACTTTCCTGCGTCTGCATAGACAGCACCTCGATATCTAATGTAGTAACTCGTGTCCGGATGGGCTGGACCTAAAATTCGCTCCCGCATGACCAAAGCTTGCATTCGCATTTCGTCTGGATCGGCCATAAGGTCATCTAAAGCGCGGGTGTCCGAAATTTCGACCACGTAATCATAAGCGGCCACTTTTCGCGTTGTTGGCTTGGGCATAGGCAATCCATCCCCGGTGTATCTATTGGATGAACATGTGTTGATTTCGGCTCAATTTGCGAATTTTTCCGAAAAAACCCTACCTGTCATTCATGGCACGCTTCCACAATTCCAGGGCTCCGATCATGTCCCGCTTCTTGTCCACGCAGGTGGCCCCCAGTAGCTCCAACGCATCAATGCGTTCTCGTCGAGAAACAATATGGGGAAGTTTAATTAGATATTCAACTATGTGATTGTGGCCCATTACAGCTGCGGCCAATAGCGGAGTCATTCCTAGAACATGTTCAAAGTGAGCTATCAATTCAGCCGATTTAAATTGCTAATAATTGTAGTTTCATTATTTTTGAAAGTATTTTCGTTTTTTCCGAACCGTGTGTCCAACAAGCTAATGTTGGGTGAGTGGATTTTGTGAGGTTGCTCGCCTTTAACAAGCCTAAGTTAAATAGATTCTTGATCTGATCATTTGAAGATTCAATACTAGTTGATTTTAAAGCCCACGTATCAATGATGTGGATCGCATTCGTCTTAAT